TCATTCGATTTTATGACAAGACAATATAATAATAATGTGGACTCACTTGATTGAAAACGTACAGGAGTTTGGCTGATGCATTGCCACATTGATTCCCATCTTACATGGGGCTTGGCCATGTCCTTCTTGGTCGAGAATGGAATCACCGAGTGGGAAACAGTTCCACCGCCTCCACCAGATCTGCCTCGCTGCTGAACTAATAATGGAAACCACGAGACACCAAAATCAGCCTATCTGCAGTTCTATCTAGTACTTTTTCATTTCATATTCTCTATCATTTGTTAACCTGAGTTTTTATGTTTCTTTGTCATGTTAGAATACTTTAGCCGGGCAGGGCAATTCTTGATTTTCAACTACTAAAGAAGGGAAATGATGTATTTCAGATTCTTGATTGAGTTTATTGATTGCTATATTGTATTTTCTGAGTCCACAATGAACAATGAAAACTGAAAAACTGCACAAACAGTAAGCTATCTAGCATTCAAAAAAACATACATGTTTACAATGATGTACATATATAGTAACATTTACCATGCTTCTTTGGCTAATAATATATACATGGTAAGAGATGTTTAGTACTAAAGACACCATTGCAATCTCCCAATGAAAGCACTACAAGCGCTTTCGCGGTCTCTTAGAATCTGCTGTTGCACTACCAAAATAGAAGATGTAATGCCTAAATCTGAATTGGCCATATAATCTCCTATAACACCTAATTCTTGGTTTTTGTTACAGTCTGTTAGTCCTTGTAAAATCACTGGATTTATGCCATGTTTCCTACCAAGGATCCAGAGATCGAAGTAATTATCTTTCATTGACTGAATTGCAGCGAGGGTTTCCTCCCCATTTTTCACTACTGACTCCCTATAAACAACTTGCCGGTTGGCTTCATTCTTCATCCAGAACCATGTGACTAGTCCATCATCTAGCTCCTTTTCCATCTCGTTGTCCCCCTCACCGTCGTGTGAGAGGAAGCGGATGACAGTGAGGCATACATCTGGCTTGGCGGCCATCCTATCAGCACACACAAGAGCCTCACGAGAATCAGCCCCTCCCAAGAAGAGGAAAGCGAAATGATGCATTGAGCGCCTAGTGGGGGAGTTGATGTTGTGGCTACCAGCAAAGCCCCTATCCACAAATATGGCAACCGAGCAAGGGGCGTGTGATAATACACTAGCGGCAACAGATTGACCTCCTTCAGACTCCACCACCCCTCCTGCAGTGCATCCGTGAAATGGAAAGATAATCAGAGAAGCCTTCATCATAAGGGCTAACTCACACACATCTCGGTACAAGCTTCTCTTTGGTGATATTGTTGTGTAAGAATTAATCTTGATGTTCTCGCTGCTTCTACTATCCTGGAAGAGCTTCAATGCATCGTGTATGGGGTTAGATTGGTCAGACTGCTGCGCCTGATCAACCTGATGATTTATGAAAACAGGCACAGCTCGGGCGACTAGATCAACTAGGTGTATGGCATGAACTGAGAAAGGACTATTCACCGTTGGATTGGAGACTTCAATGAGCTTGATCAGCCCTGGTACATCATCCTCATCATATATACACGCCACAATGCTCAAATCAGCATTTGGCGCGGTGTGCTGAACATTCCTTCGATTGTGCACCCTATAAGGCCTCGTTGGATCATAAAGTAAACTGAGCAAAGGCGTGGCTGTGGCTGTGACCACCAGTGTCATCACCACCAGCATCGAGTAAAAAGGAGGCGTTATCAGCTGCATCCACACCCACATCTCTCTTGGAATACATAACTTTGGAAGAAGTAAATAAATGAAGAAGAAAGCAGAGAGACTGAGAGAGTACCTTCACATTCATCCAACGCATATACAGCAAAACTTCCACTTGGCCTCTGAGACTCAGAATGAGGCTGAGAGCCAGACCATCTCTTAGTGGCAAGTTCAAGAATCGAGAACTCAACAGAACAGAAAGCAATTTAGTTGTATAACCAACTAAAGCCATTATGAACATGGGGCGCAAAATGGTCCATTGGCCACTCATGGCAGATATATCTGTGACGGATCCAATGAATGCATATGAGAATGGCATCAGAAGCTCTATAACAATTGTTTCACACTTTTCCACAATAGTTGCCCCTAATGGAGGGCCATCAGGAACTGCCAATCCAAACCACAACGGACCGTGGACCATGGATAGTCCACAAAAATCAGATATAAATGCAAACACCAGGACAGCTAACAATATGGCAACCACATAAATCTGATCCACCGGTTTCCCTTCAGGTGTCAGCCTGACTATCCAAACCATGACATGTCGAATGCCTAGAAAGATTGATGCCATTATAACTATCGTCGAAACTATAAACCACACACCAGCCGAAGTCTTGGCCTCCATTTGTTTGGATGCATCAAACGCAATTAAGAATTGAGCCCCAATCACATCGCTGATAACTGCCACACTCAATGCCATCCTACCAACCTCTGAGCTAAGGAGATTGAACTCTTTGATGATGGGATAGATAACTGGAAATGCTGTTAATGCAAACATAGCAGAAAACTCAAAAATGGAAGAAGCTTTCGCAAGCTCCTTTTCCATGGACTTTCTGAAAGCTATTCCAATGAAAATATCACACACAAAAGGAACAAAAACTGTGAAAGCCGCTAAGTACCAATGCTTGCTTCCTACCTTTCTTATAGCCGCAAGATCTGTCTTCACCCCAGATAGGAAGAAGAAATAAACGAATCCAATAAGCCCTACATTTCTTGTAAGAAATTGATTTTTTTCTAGTAAAAATTGTGTTCGGAATGTCTTGCTGCGGCTCAGAACCGTTGGCCCTATAATTAAACCACCCTAAAAACAGATCTCCATAAGTATATTATGCCTATATATATGTAATTATTGAAATATAAATTTTAAATTAAAGGAGAGGCCGGAACTTACTAGGATTTGGGAGATGATTCGGGGCTGGCGGAGTGGCCTGAGAAGAAGACGAAGGAGTTGCGTGATGATTATGAAGAAAGAAGCCTGTGCATAAAATAGGGGCTGGCTGTGTTGAAAAGGGTTATGGCCAAGGAAGATGCTGTGGGCGATGTTCTTTCGAGGCCGCCGATGACATATCAAGAATCCTTTCTTCATCAGATCGCTTTCAACCGCCGGTGAGAAGCTCGTGTTCGGCATTGCTTGCTCGGAATTGAAGAAGCTAAGCTATGGAGTCCCCTGCTAGCGTAGCTAGGCTGTTGTTCATCATCGACAGGGATTAATTGGAAGAGAGAGAAAACCCTAAACTATAATTTCTGTAAGGATTGGACGTGCGCTCCGGAGCGAAATGCTCTACTTTGCTTTCATGGCCGTTCAACTTCCATCATTTCTGTTTATTCATCAGCTTTTTTCATGTTACACTGCTGCCGCGCCACACGGTGTTTAGTGTTGTTCAGTTCACGTTACAATATGTATATTGTATTATGTCTTTCTGTACATTATGTTATGCAATTTTGTATATTAAGCATAATGATTCTATACCTAAAATTGATTCGTAGTTTTATTGTTTTATTTTTCAAATTTATGTCTTATATTATGTAATTATGTATCTATATGACATAAATTATTTATATAAATCAGATATGAGAATAAGTAAAATAGAAAACATGTGTATGTATCTTGTAGTAAAATAGAAAAATGTGTCTGTATATCGTGTTATGCATTTTTGTACATCATGTTATGCGATTCTGTACATTAAACGTAAGGATTCTGTACCTGAAATTGATTAGTAGTTGTATAACACAAAATATGTTGTGTATCTTATTTTACGAATTTATGTCTTGTATTATAAAATTATGTGCCTATAGGACACACATTATTTACATAAATCAGATTTGAGAATAAGTAAAAATAGAAAATATGTGTATATATCTCGTGTTATGCGTTTTTGTACATCATGTTATGTCATTCTGTACATTAAGCGTAAGGATTGATTCTGTACCTGAAATTGATCAGTAGTTGTATAAGTGTATAACGCAAAACATATTGTGTGTCTTATTTTACGAATTTATGTATTGTGTTATGAAATTATGTGCATATAAGACATAAATTATTTACATAAATCAGATTTGAGAATAAGGAAAATAGAAAATATGTGTATGTATCTCGTGTTATGCGTTTTTGTACATCATGTTATGCAATTCTGTACATTAAACGTAAGGATTATGTACCTAAAACAATTTAAAATGTGCGTTGAAACATGAGAAATGGGAAGTTACGGAGTCTGTTAAAGCTTAAACATCAAACGACGTCGTTTTGACCCAGGATTCACAATGTTATGTGTATTAAAGGGCATTAGCTCCAGTGCGCTACTTACGCATGGTAGTGCGTTGGAAGCCAAATAGTGGGGGGATACGTATGTGACCAAGAATGAAGGTCGCCCGATGTCGTCCATTTGTCAACCATAGTCCTCCAACAATATAAATAGGCATCATTCCCTCCCTCTAAAAGGCACCCACGAATCCTGATACAAAAATTCATTATATACCTTCACTTGACACATTATGTACTTACAATTAACAAGTATGTAAATAAATAACTTAATTGCTGACACATAATATGATAGCTACAGGTACAAAATGTGGCAATTATAGATACATAATCTGACTTGATAATTGTTGACACATAATATGATAGCTACCGGTACAAAAACTATCAACTACAGATACATAATGTGTCAACTATAGATACAGAATCTGAATATTATTTTTGGATCTCCATGGTATAATTTGCCGTGATTATATCCGGTAGGCCCCCAAGATTTATCACCAATAGGCTTGCCATGCAAACTTATCGGTAACATTTTTTATCTTTCTCCTCAACTTTCAAATAATGGATATTGTTAATCATGACTATTGATGGGGAATTGAAGTAAACAATTTTGTAGTGATGGAGATGTAAATGATGACTGTTGTGAGAGAAAAAAAAATTATGTTCATAAGATTATTCAAGTTTCCATTTTAGAAGTAAGAAATATGAAGGAATAGCAAATGGGTGCACCAAATCCTCCTTGTGGTTGGACTAATTAAGTCCTTTTGACTCTCTTCCAAAAAAAAAAAAAAAAGTCCTTTTGACTCTTGAACCAATCTGCTTCCTCTGAACTTTAGCATCAATAAAAATTCCAGATTTTGTCTGTTATCACTATAAATACCCACTCTTTAATTTACAACACAGCACAACAACGTTACAAAAACATTATCTATCCTCAAATATAATGGAGTCTCAGAACAATGTAACACCTCTCTGAATCCATTCTGCAATGGCTTCAATTCTTGGCAAAACTTTTTGTCTGTCATGCTAAACTGTCTTGGCTTCTTTAGCAAATGCAGATGTTTAGCATCAAGAATTTGTTGTTTTTCATTGTAATGGTGCGGCCATGATAATGGGGATGGATGTATACTCTTTAATCCTGAGACCGACACCATACCGCTGCTAAATTCAACCTGGTGGATCCTCCTGTTAGGAACACCATTGATGTGGCTGTTAAGCAAGAGAACCCCAAAAACTTATATGTTTTTTGGTCACGAAAATTTGGAGGCTGGGGAAAAATCCAAAATCCTATATCCTGACCCTAGTAAGCAAGTAAGAGTTTAGCAAGTTGGTTAAATTATAGTAACATTTACCATGCTTAATTAGCTTATTTGGGTAATAATGTTAAGAGAGGTACTAAAGACACCATGCTGGCAATCTCCCAATGAAAGCATTATAAGCGGGTTCGCGGGCTCTTAGAATCTGCTGTTGCACTACCAAAATAGAAGATGTACTGTCTGAATCTGAATTGGCCAAATAATCTCCTATAACACCTAATTCTTGGTTTTTGCTCCAGTCTGATAGTCCTTGTAAAACCATTGGATTTATGCCTTGTTTCCTACCAAGGATCCAGAGATCGAAGTAATCATCTTTCATTGACTGAATTGCAGCGAGGGTTTCCTCCCCATTTTTCACTACTGCCTCCCTATAAACAACTTGGTGGTTGGCTTCATTCTTCACTCAGAACCATGTGACTAGTCCATCATCTAGCTTCTTTTCCATCTCGTTGTCCCCCTGACCGTCGTGTGAGAGGAAGCGGATGACAGTGAGGGATACCTCTGGCTTGGCGGCCATCCTATCAGCACACACAAGAGCCTCGCGAGAATCAGCCCCTCCCAAGAAGAGGAAAGCGAAATGATGCATTGAGCGCCTGTTGGGGAAGTCGATGTTGTGGCTAGCAGCAAAGCCCTTATCCACAAATATGGCAACTGAGCAAGGGGCGTGTGATAATGCACTAGACGCCACAGATTCACCAACTGCTTCAGACTCCACCTCCACCCCTTCTCCAGTGCAGTGAAATGGCAAGATAATCATAGAAGCCTTCATCGAAAGGGCTACCTCACACACATCTTGGTACATGCTTCTCTTTGGGGATATTGATGTGTAAGAATTAATCTTGATGTTCCCCCCGCTGCTTCTACTATCCTGGAAGAGCTTCAATGCATTGTGTATGGGGTAAGATTGGTCAGTCTGCTCCTCCTGATCAACCTGATGATCTATGAAAACAGGCACAGCTCGGTCGACTAGATCAACTAGGTGTATGGCATGAACCGAGAAAGGACTATTCACCGTTGGATTGGAGACTTCAATGAGCTTGATCACCCCTGGTACATCATCCTCATCATATATGCACGTCACAATGTTCAATTCAGCATTTGGCGCAGTGTGCTGAACATTCCTTCGATTGTTCACCCTATAAGGCCTCGTTGGATCATAAAGTACACTGATCAAAGGCGTGGCTGTGCCTGTGACCACCATTGTCATCAGCACCAGCATCGAGTAAAAAGGAGGCGTTATCATCTGTATCCCTCTTGGATTAATACATAACTTTTAATTTGGAGATTTAATTAACAAGTAACGAGTGAGAGAGTACGTACCTTCCTATCCATCCAATGCATATACAGGAAAACTTCGACTTGGCCTCTGAGACTGAGAATGAGGCCGAGAGTGAGACCATCTCTTAGTGGCAAGTTCATGAAACGAGAACCCAACAGAACAGAAAGCAATTTAGTTGTATAACCAACTACACCCATTATGAACATGGGGCGCAAAATGGTCCAATGCCCACTCATGCCAAATATATCTATGAAGGATCCCGCGTATACATATGCCATTGGCATCAGAAGCTCTGTAACAAATGTCTCAGACTTTTCCACAATAGTTGCCACAATAGGGCCCTCAGGAACTGCCAATCCAAACCACAACGGCCCGTTGGCCATGGATAGTCCAAAAAAATCAGATAAAAATGCAATCACCATCACACCTAACAATATGCCAAGCACATACATCTGATCCAACGTTTCCCTTCAGGTGTCGACTTCACTATCCAAACCATGGCCTGTCGAAGGCCTACAAAGATTGCTACCATTAAAACTAAATTCGAAACTAGAAACCACACGCCAGCCGAAACCTTGACATCCATATGTTTGGATGCATCATACGCAGTTAAGAATTGATTCCCAATAATATCGCTGATAATTACCACATTCATTGCCATCCTACCAATCTCTGAGCTAAGGAGATTGAACTCTTTGATGATGGGATAGATAACTGGAAATGTTGTTAATGCAAACTCAGAAGAAATCCCAAGAATGGAAGAAGGTTTTGCAAGCTCCTTTCCCATGGACTTTCTCATAGCTATTGCAACGAAAATATTACACGCCAAAGGAATAACAAGTGTGAAAACCGCTAAGTACCAATGCTTTCTTCCTACCTTTCTTAAAACCATAACATCTGTCTTCACCCCAGCTAGGAAGAAGAAATAAACGGATCCAAGAAGCCCTATATTTCTTACAATATTTTGAGATCTATTTGTTAAAAACTTTGTCCGGAATATCTTGTTATAGAATATTCTGTGTGATTGAGTATCCTATATTTTAGGAAACTAGAATATTAGCATATCATATCAGTCTAGATCAAGCTAGTATTTAAGGGGAGGTTGACTAACCCTAAAGACATACAGAAAGAGGGAGAACTCTCAAGAGGTATTCTTTTTCTCTCCCAGTACTGTAACATGGTATCTGAGCCTACACGATAAAGGGATTTTTTTTTTCGCTCCGCTGCCGTCACCACCCACACAGAAAGGTTCGCCGGCGACCGGCGACCGTAGCTGCAGATTTCGGCGTCGATCTAGGCAGCGCGTGAGGCTCACGCGCCGCCGCAACCAGCCGCCACGCGCCCCACGCGCCGGCGCGTGCGGGCATTCCGGCCACCGGAAAATTTTTCCGTCGCATGTTCCTGGGTCGCCTGAGTCCCTTCTCCTCGGTTCTGGACTTAGTTTGGACCTTCGCCGCTCCGGTTCTAAGGTTAGGTTGTTTCGTACCCCTCCAGGCTCACTTTTAGGCATAAATTCTGGTCTGTTTGGGCTCAAATATTTGTGGGTATGGCTGAGAATAAGTCTGTGGTTGTTACTGATATAGTTCCTGTTAGTTCTAAAATCACGGATTGTAAGATTAATGACTCTAATTACTTGGAATGGATTCATGTCGTTAAACTTTATCTTACTAGTTTGGATAAGAGTGACCACTTGTCCAAACCTTTGGCTGACCAAGATGCTTCTTGGGTTCGAGATGATGCCCGTTTGTTCCTACAAATCCGTAATTCTATTGATGAGGGTGTTGTTGGGTTCATTAGTCATTGTGCCTCTGTTAAGGAGTTAATGGAGTATTTGGAATACTTGTATGCTGAAAGGGGAATGTCACTCGAGTTTATGATGTTTGCAAGTCTTTTTTCCGTACTGAAAAACGTGATTTGTCTCTCCCTGCATACTTTATGGAATTTAAGAAGACTTTTGAGGCACTTAATCAGCTTATGTCATTCACTGCTGACATTAAAGAGCAGCAAAACCAACGTGAACAGTTGGGTGTTCTGAGTTTTTTGGCAGGTCTCCCTTCTGAGTATGACACGGCGAGGTCTGCAATTCTTAGTAGCTCTGCAATCCCTTCTCTTGCTGATGTTTTCCCACGTCTAAGTCGATCGGTGCAATCGCAACCAAATGTGCTTGAGGCTACTATCCCGTCAAACAATGCTCTTGTTGGCCGTCATCCTCGCAGTGGGAATGGTAAAAATTCTCAGGGATACACTTCTGGTGGTATTGTGTGTCATTATTGCCATAAGCCTGGCCACATAAAAAGGGATTGTCGGAGATGGTTGAGGGAACGAGGAAATCCGACTGCTAATGTTGCATCCACCGCCGAGGCGTCTTCCAAGACGGTCACTGTCTCTGCTGATGAGTTTGCTGAGTTCTCTCAGTATCGAGAATCTTTAAAGCGTTCATCCTCCTCTTCAGTCACTGCTATTGCTGACTCAGGTAATGCAACTACGTGCCTTCTCTCATCCTCCTCCAAGTGGGTTATAGACTCGGGTGTCACGGATCATATGACAGGTAACTCTAGTTTGTTTTCGACACTTTCTTCTCGCCCACATAGTTCCCCCGTCACCTTAGCAGATGGTTCTACCTCCCATGTTCTTGGGTCCGGTACCATTACGCCCATCCCCTCGCTCCCCTTGTCTTCTGTCTTGCATCTACCTAACTTTTCGTTCAACTTAATTTCAGTCAGCCAGCTTACCCGTACTTTAAACTGTTCTGTTACGTTTTTCCCTGATTATTGTCTGTTTCAGGATCTTTTGACGAAGAGGGTTATTGGTAAGGGGCGCGAGTCTGGGGGCCTCTACGTTCTTGACACCACGAGGCGAGAGCTTATTGCTTGTTCAGGTGCTGTCACTCCAGTCGAAGCTCATTGTCGTTTGGGGCATCCTTCCCTTCCCTTGTTGAAGAAATTGTGTCCGCAGTTTTCTAGTTTGTCTTCTTTACATTATGAGTCGTGTCAGTTGTCCAAGCACCATCGTGTGCCTTTGAGTCCTAGAGTTTACAAACGAGCGTCTGCTCCTTTTGAGTTAGTACATTCTGATATTTGGGGTCCGTGTTCTGTGACCTCTAAACTTGGTTTTAAGTATTTTGTTACGTTTGTTGATGATTTTTCCCGAATAACATGGTTATATCTAATGAAGTCTCGTTCTGAACTTTTTGAGGTGTTTTGTGGATTCTGTGTTGAAATTGAGACTCAATTTGGTGTTCCTGTCAAAGTTTTACGTAGTGGCAATGCAAAAGAATATTTTTCTTTTCCCTTTGTCTCTTATATGCGTAAGAAGGGTATGTTACATCAGTCCTCTTGTGTTGATACACCTTCCCAAAATGGGGTCGCTGAACGCAAAAATCGGCATCTGCTTGAAACTGCAAGGGCCTTGATGTTTCAAATGGGGGTTCCCAAGCAGTTTTGGAGTGATGCCGTTTCCACAGCCTGTTTCTTGATTAATCGGATGCCCTCTGCAGTCTTGGGTGGGAAAACACCTTTCCATTCTCTGTATCCTTCAAAGCCTATGTTCCATGTTGACCCGCGTATATTTGGCTGCGTGTGCTTTGTTCGAGATGTCCGTCCCCATGTCACCAAGTTAGATCCCAAGTTTTTGAAGTGTGTGTTTCTTGGATATTCCCGTGTGCAGAAAGGGTATCGGTGTTACTCTCCTGAGCTTGGTAGGTACCTTGTTTCCATTGATGTTGCCTTTCATGAGGACGTCCCTTTCTTTCCTTCATCCCCATATGTTGTTCGTAAGGGGGAGGAGGATGATATATTGATGTATACGGTAACGTCGTCTGTTCCTTCCCCTGTTCCTACCCCTCCTGTCTTGCAAGTGTATTCTCGTCGACCTCGACCTGACACACTCGTACCGGCACCGCCTCCCATTCCAGACTCGGTACAGACTCCGTGCCCTGACACCACCTCTATGTCATCAGATCCAGTCTTAATTGATGACCGTCCGATTGCCACCCGGAAAGGTAAACGTACCTGTACTTATCCTATATCCTCTGTTGCATCATATGATTCCCTTGAGTCTATTTCCATTCCTAAGACTGTTAGGGATGCCTTGTCCCATCCTGGGTGGCGAAATGCCATGATTGAGGAGATGAACGCTTTGGATCACAATGGTACTTGGGAGTTGGTCACTATGCCTGCGGGTAAAAGATCTATTGGTTGTAAATGGGTGTTTACTGTCAAAGTTAATTCTGATGGGTCTGTGGCTCGATTGAAGGCTCGTCTTGTGGCTAAGGGATATGCCCAAACTTATGGAGTTGATTATTCTGACACTTTTTCTCCTGTGGCTAAGCTTACTTCTGTCAGGTTACTTATCTCAATGGCTGCCATTCATGATTGGCCTTTGCATCAGCTTGTTATCAAGAACGCCTTTTTGCATGGGGATCTTCATGAAGAGGTGTACATGGAGCAACCTCCTGGGTTTGTTGCTCAGGGGGAGTCTGGGAAAGTATGTCGTCTTCAGCGATCGTTGTACGGGCTGAAACAAAGTCCACGTGCATGGTTTGGAAAATTTAGTCAAGTTGTTGAGAAGTTTGGGATGGTGAAAGGCAAATCGGATCATTCCATGTTCTACAAGTGGTCCAAAACAGGTATCATCTGGTTGGTGGTTTACGTAGATGACATTGTCATTACAAGGAGCGACACCGAAGGGATTTTGTCTCTCAAAGTCTTTTCTTCACAGTCAATTCCAAACGAAAGATTTGGGACCACTAAAGTATTTCCTGGGTATTGAAGTTATGAGGAACAAAACAGGTATATTACTCTCCCAACGAAAATATGTTATTGACTTACTCTCTGAAACAGGAAAACTAGGTACTAAACCATGCAATACTCCCATGATACCGAACTTGCAATTGTCAAAGGAAGGGGAATTGTTTGAAAATCCTGAGAGGTATAGGAGATTGGTTGGGAAGCTAAACTACTTGACCGTAACCCGTCAGATATTGCATACCCAGTTAGCGTTTTGAGTCAGTACATGTCATCTCCAACTATTGATCACTGGGCAGCTGTAGAGCACATCTTGAGTTACTTAAAGGGAGCTCCGGGACACGGAATTTTGTATAAGAATCACGGTTACACTCGGATTGAGTGTTTTACTGATGCGGATTGGGCAGGTTCCAAAGAGGATCGTAGATCAACAACTGGATATTGTGTTTTCTTTGGAGGTAATCTGGTTTCCTGGAAGAGTAAGAAGCAGAATGTAGTCTCTCGTTCGAGTGCAGAGTTTGAATATAGAGCGATGACACAATCAACGAGTGAAGTAATGTGGATACACAACCTTTTGTATGAGTCTGGTTTCAAAGCTCCAATTCCTGCAAAGTTATGGTGTGATAACCAAGCTGCTCTTCATATTGCATCAAACCCGGTGTTCCATGAACGAACTAAGCACATAGAGATTGACTGTCATTTTGTACGTGAGAAGATACAACAAGGGTTAATCTCCACAGGATTTGTGAAGACAGGAGAACAACTTGGGGACTTATTCACGAAGGCCCTTACTGGAACCCGAGTCAGTTATTTGTGTAACAAGTTGGGAATGATCAATGTCTTTGCTCCAACTTGAGGGGGAGTGTTATAGAATATTCTGTGTGATTGAGTATCCTATATTTTAGGAAACTAGAATATTAGCATACCATATCAGTCTAGATCAAGCTAGTATTTAAGGGGAGGTTGACTAACCCTAAAGACATACAGAAAGAGGGAGAACTCTCAAGAGGTATTCTTTTTCTCTCCCAGTACTGTAACAATCTTGATGCGGCTCAGAGCCGATGGCCCTATAATTACACCACCCTAAAAACAGGTACATATATTATATTATGCCTAATTATTTTGAAATATAAATTTTAAATTACAATAATAATACAATTTCTACCTGAAATTCATCAAACTTATTATGCATACAATACAATGTATAGAATCCACAATTTAAAGGGGAGAAAGGAGAGGCCGGAACTTACTAGGATTTCGGCGATGATTCGGGGCTGGCGGAGTGGCCTGAGAAGAAGGCGAAGGACGAGCGTGATCATCATGAACAAAGAAAGCTGTGAATAAAATAGTAACATTTACCATGCTTCTTTGGCTAATAATATATACATGGTAAGAGATGTTTAGTACTAAAGACACCATTGCAATCTCCCAATGAAAGCACTACAAGCGCTTTCGCGGTCTCTTAGAATCTGCTGTTGCATTACCAAAATAGAAGATGTAATGCCTAAATCTGAATTGGCCATATAATCTCCTATAACACCTAATTCATGGTTTTTGCTACAGTCTGTTAGTCCTTGTAAAATCACTGGATTTATGCCATGTTTCCTACCAAGGATCCAGAGATCAAAGTAATCATCTTTCATTGACTGAATTGCAGCGAGGGTTTCCTCCCCATTTTTCACTACTGACTCCCTATAAACAACTTGCCGGTTGGCTTCATTCTTCATCCAGAACCATGTGACTAGTCCATCGTCTAGCTCCTTTTCCATCTCGTTGTCCCCCTCACCGTCGTGTGAGAGGAAGCGGATGACAGTGAGCCATACATCTGGCTTGGCGGCCATCCTATCAGCACACACAAGAGCCTCACGAGAATCAGCCCCTCCCAAGAAGAGGAAAGCGAAATGATGCATTGAGCGCCTAGTGGGGGAGTTGATGTTGTGGCTACCAGCAAAGCCCCTATCCACAAATATGGCAACCGAGCAAGGGGCGTGTGATAATACACTAGCGGCAACAGATTGACCTCCTTCAGACTCCACCACCCCTCCTCCAGTGCATCCGTGAAATGGAAAGATAATCAGAGAAGCCTTCATCATAAGGGCTAACTCACACACATCTCGGTACAAGCTTCTCTTTGGTGATATTGTTGTGTAAGAATTAATCTTGATGTTCTCGCTGCTTCTACTATCCTGGAAGAGCTTCAATGCATTGTGTATGGGGTTAGATTGGTCAGACTGATGCGTCTGATCAACCTGATGATTTATGAAAACAGGCACAGCTCGGGCGACTAGATCGACTAGGTGTATGGCATGAACTGAGAAAGGACTATTCACCGTTGGATTGGAGAGTTCAATGAGCTTGATCAGCCCTGGTACATCACCCTCTTCATATATACACGCCACAATGCTCAAATCAGCATTTGGCGCGGTGTGCTGAACACTCCTTCGATTGTGCACCCTATAAGGCCTCGTTGGATCATAAAGTAAACTGAGCAAAGGCGTGGCTGTGGCTGTGACCACCAGTGTCATCACCACCAGCATCGAGTAAAAAGGAGGCGTTATCAGCTGCATCCACACCCACATCTCTCTTGGAATACATAACTTTGGAGATTTAAGAACGCGAGACAATAAGTAAATAAATGAAGAAGAAAGCAGAGAGACTGAGAGAGTACCTTCACATTCATCCAACGCATATACAGCAAAACTTCCACTTGGCCTCTGAGACTCAGAATGAGGCTGAGAGCCAGACCATCTCTTAGTGGCAAGTTCAAGAAACGAGAACTCAACAGAACAGAAAGCAATTTAGTTGTATAACCAACTAAAGCCATTATGAACATGGGGCGCAAAATGGTCCATTGGCCACTCATGGCAGATATATCTGTGACGGATCCAATGAATGCATATGAGAATGGCATCAGAAGCTCTATAACAATTGTCTCACACTTTTCCACAATAGTTGCCCCTAATGGAGGGCCATCAGGAACTGCCAATCCAAACCACAACGGACCATGGACCATGGATAGTCCACAAAAATCAGATATAAATGCAAACACCAGGACACCTAACAATATGGCAACCACATAAATCTGTTCCACCGGTTTCCCTTCAGGTGTCAGCCTGACTATCCAAACCATGACATGTCGAATGCCTAGAAAGATTGATGCCATTATAACTATCGTCGAAACTATAAACCACACACCAGCCGAAGTCTTGGCCTCCATTTGTTTGGATGCATCAAACGCAATTAAGAATTGAGCCCCAATCACATCGCTGATAACTGCCACACTCAATGCCATCCTACCAATCTCTGAGCTAAGGAGATTGAACTCTTTGATGATGGGATAGATAACTGGAAATGCTGTTAATGCAAACATAGCAGAAAACTCAAAAATGGAAGAAGCTTTCGCAAGCTCCTTTTCCATGGACTTTCTGAAAGCTATTCCAATGAAAATATCACACACAAAAGGAACGAAAACTGTGAAAGCCGCTAAGTACCAATGCTTGCTTCCTACCTTTCTTACAGCCCCAAGATCTGTCTTCACCCCAGATAGGAAGAAGAAATAAACGAATCCAATAAGCCCTACATTTTTTCCAAGAAATTGAACTTTTTCTAGTAAAAATTGTGTTCGGAATGTCTTGCTGCGGCTCAGAACCGTTGGCCCTACAATTAAACCACCCTAAAAATAGATCTCCATAAGTATATTATGCCTATATATATGTAATTATTGAAATATAAATTTTAAATTATAATACAATTTCTACCTCAAATTGGATCAAACAATTAGCACTATATTATTATGCATACAATGTATAGAATCCTCAACTTCCCAATCAAGTTGGCCACATTGATTTGATAACCACCAGCTAGGTTAAGTTCAACTTCTAGCTTGACGTTCTTAGTTTGAATTAAAGGGGAGAAATATGAGAGAGGAACTTACTAGGATTTCGGAGATGATTCGGGGCTGGCGGAGTGGCCTGAGAAGAAGACGAAGGAGTTGCGTGATGATTATGATGAAAGAAGCCTGTGCATAAAATAGGGGCTGGCTGTGTTTTAAAGGGTTATGGCCATAGAAGATGCTGTGGGCGATGTTCTTTCGAGGCAGCCGATGACACATCATGAGTCCTTTCTTCATCAGATCGCTTTCAACCGCCGGTGAGAAGCTCGTGTTCACCATTGCTTGCTCGGAATTGAAGAAGCTAAGCTATGGAGTCCCCTGCTAGCGTAGCTAGGCTGTTGTTCATCATCGACAGGGATTAATTGGAAGAGAGAGAAAACCCTAAACTATAATTTGTAAGGGTTGGACATTTTGACGTGCGCTCCGGAGCGAAATGCTCTGCTTTGCTTTCACCCTGAGCTTCATGGCCGTTCAACTTCCATCATTTCTGTTTCTTCATCAGCTTTTTACATGTTACACTGCTGCCGCGCCACACGCTGTTTACTGTGCTCTCTTTCATCAATGGACCGTTGGATCGAAAACCCATGGCCCCACAATCGCCAATTGTTATACCGTGGAGCCCCACGTCATTTTGAACTGATCGTTTGTTGTTCAGGTCGCGTCACAAAATTTATTTATTTTTTATTGTAAAGCATGTGTATGTATATTGTGTTATGTATTTTTGTACATTATGTTATGTAATTCTGTACATTAAGCATAATGATTCTGTACCTGAAATTGATTTGTAGTTCTATTGTTTTATTTTTCAAATTTATGTCTTATATTATGTAATTATGTATCTATATGACATAAATTATTTATATAAATCAGATATGAGAATAAGTAAAATAGAAAACACGTGTATGTATCTCGTAGTAAAATAGAAAAATGTGTATGTATCTCGTGTTATGCGTTTCTGTACATCATGTTATGTCATTCTGTACATTAAGCGTAAGGATTGATTCTGTACCTAAAATTGATCAGTAGTTGTATAACCAGTGTTGCAAAATTTCCGCCTAGGCACCGATTAATCGGCGCCCAGGCGCTAGGTGCTCCTAGGCCTTGGCGATTTCTCCCCTAGGCGCCCGCCTAGCGCCTAACTTGGTCGACTAGCCCAAATTCGGCCGAGTTAACTCGTCCATTTCGATCGAGTTAGCCGAGTTAACCTGTCCGCCTCGGCCTTGCTAATTTTTTTTTTATGTATATGACATATATATTTATATTTATTTATTTATAATATATATATATATATATATATATATATATATATATATATATATATATATATATATATATAATTAGGTTCTGGTGCGGTTAGGGTGTCCAGGTGTGGTTGTGGAGTTTAATCTGGGTCATTCATCTCGCTTAAATCAACGTCCAGGATTGCCAAAAAAAAAAACGTGGTGGCAATTTTGTAATTTTTGCATCTAGGTCAAAATTAAGGTGAGCGGATCTGTGATTAATGTGCGTGAATTTTGTATATAAGATGCGTGAGGTTTGTGCGTAAGGTGCGTGAGTTTTGTGCTTAATGTGCGTGAGGTTGTGCTTAACGTGAGTAGTTGTTAAAACTTAAAGTGTGGACGTTTGTGCTTAAGTGAGTGAGATTTGTTCTTAATGTGAGTGGAGTTTGTGCTTGTTAGTAATGTTATATTTCCCATTTATTTATTATGTAACATTATAGTTGAAATAGTCCTGTAACTAATAGCTATTGACTAGGTGTAGTTAGATAGGACTCTAATCTGCTTTTGTATCTCCGTATCTTCTCAGAGTTTGAATTAACGATAATCTGTTTCACTCATCTGGTATCAGTAAGCTAGGTGAACCTTTATCCTCTCTCTCTCAAAATATGTCGACTAATTCTAGCGAAAGAACGGTCACCGCCGCTACACCACCACCCTCCACCACCCCAAACACCCTATCTTCGGCTCACCACTTCATATCTATGAAGTTAACCACGAAGAATTTCCTATTCTGGCGCACCCAACTCGTACCGTTCCTCCGTGGACAGGGTCTACTTGGGTTTGTCACCGGCGATACGCCATGCCCGCCGGCGACGCTGGACACCCCGGCTTCCGGAGACGGTGCTTCCGGCACCACCACCACAAGCCCAAATCCAGCGCACGGCGTATGGATACAGCAGGACCAAAGTATCTTGTCTCTGCTTGTATCGTCAATGGCAAACGAGGTACTCTACCTCGCCGTAGGCCGCACGACGTCGCAAGAGGTCTGGTCGTCGATCACGGCGGCGCTTGGTTCCTCCACTCGGGCGAGATGCCTCAATCTCCTGGCGCAATTCCAATCGCTCAGGCAAGGCGACAGCACTCCCGCAGAATATCTCGGCCGCGCGCAATTATTGGTGGAAGATTTAGCGTTGGCCGGCCGGCCAGTCTCACTTGATGAACAAAACCTCTGGGTTTTCCGAGGTCTCCGCCCCGAATTCCGGTCGATGGCGTCCTCCCTCGCGGCATCCGGTGCACCGGTGTCCATTCCTCAACTCTCGGACTATCTCCAGGCCCAAGAGTTCATCTGGGCAGATGAGTTCTCCACTGCCGGAGCTCCCTCCGGGCACACGGCGATGATCGCTGGCCGTGGCTATTCCCAGAATCAGGCCGCAGGTGGAGGTCCGCGTCACGCTGGTTCCGGACAGCAGTGGCGTAGTAGGGGCGGTCGTGGCCGTGGTGGACAAGGCAGAGGCCGTGGTGGTGGCGATCCGAGGTGCCAAATCTGCCGCTCGCATGGACATACAGCGCTTCACTGTTTCAAGCGCTACTCCGGCGCTCCGCAACCGCAAGCCCATGCGGCAGTTCCCGGAGACGAAGCAGCAGTCGTGGCAGACGCATGGTACCCGGACACCGGGGCGTCGTCGCATGCTACGCCCGATCAGACGATGTTGGCGCAATCAGATCCCTACTCCGGCGGTGATGTGCTCCGCGTAGGCAATGGATCAGGTTTGGGTATAACCAGTGTTGGCCATGCATCATTAAACTCTGCGTCTAGAACTCTCAAATTAAATAATATTCTGCATGTCCCCCGTCTTTCAGTTAATCGTTTTGCAATTGATAATGCTGTTTACTTTGAATTTCATCATGATCATTTTGTTGTGAAGGACTGTCACACCAAGGCGGTGCTCCTTAGGGGTCCTACCACGGGGGGTTTGTACAAGCTACCCATGTCTCGGTCACATGTTGCGTTAATAACCGCTCGTGCGCCACCTGATATTTGGCATCGCAGGCTTGGACATCCGCATGAACGTGCCCAAAATCGAGTCTTACAAAAATGCCCGGTCACTCAATCAAAATCAAGTGTGCCGCAATTATGTTCGTCGTGTCAACTCGGGAAATCGTCTCGATTCCCGCTAGATAGGGTTTTCTCTAGTAGCAATAATGTACTCGACTTGCTGTACACTGATATTTGGGGCCCGACACCCGTTGTTTCTGCCGGGGGTTTTAGATATTTCATTGTCTTTGTAGATGACCACACACGTTTTTGCTGGTTTTACCCTTTGCGGTTAAAATCAGACATTTATAAAATCTTCGAGTCTTTCCGTGTCATGGTAGAACGCCAATTCTCGCGTTCTATCAAGTCTATACAGTCCGACCTCGGAGGCGAGTATCGCCGTCTCCACTCCGTCTTTCAGTTCCTTGGCATTGTGCATAGGCTGTCTTGCGCCTATACACATGAGCAAAATGGCCGAGTAGAGCGCCGGAATAGACACATTGTCGAAACCGGGTTAGCCTTACTCGCGCACAGCTCAGTCCCCATCAAACACTGGGATGCCGCGTTTGAAATAGCTTCCTATCTCATAAATTGTTTACCGTCATCTGCACTTAAAAATTTTGTCAGTCCCTATGAGTTTGTCTATAACAAAACTCCACCATACACTTTTCTGCGAGTGTTCGGGTGTAGTTGTTACCCCTATCTGCGGCCCTACAATCGCCATAAGATAGAGTACCGTTCTACACCCTGTGTCTTTTTAGGATATCCTACGTCTTATAGGGGGTACCGATGCATGGACCCAGTAACTGGAAAGACCTTTATTTGCCGCCATGTCAGGTTTGATGAAAGTGTGTTTCCCTATGCTTCAGGTTCACACGAGCAATGTGGGGGTACAGACACTCAGAATGGCGTGCCGTGGGCGTCAAGCCCCATAATCACACAGTCTCAAGTTGAACCGCTTAATGAGTTACCGCTGGCAGCCCAAGAGCCACCGTTAGCAATACAACATGAGCCGGTCACCAGAGTGATACCACGGCGTAGAACCCGGGTTCGGGTCCGACCACCGGCACAACCCCATGTCATGCGACTCCGGCACATGACACGAGGCACAGACGAGCCCTTTCAGGCTCTAACCGCCTCAACCGATCCAACTTGCTATACTCAGGCCGTAGCACACCCACAGTGGAGGGATGCTATGGACCAGGAATTTAATGCACTACTACATAATAATACGTGGTGTCTCACTCCGGCCAAGCCGGGTATGAATGTAGTGGGCTGCAAGTGGGTCTATCGCACCAAACGGAAGGCCGATGGTACCATCGAGCGTTACAAAGCTCGCTTGGTTGCCAAGGGGTTCAATCAAGTCGCTGGTGAGGACTTTTTTGAAACCTACAGTCCAGTGGTTAAACCGACCACGGTTCGCATATTGCTCGCTCTTGCTATATCACAGGGCTAGACTATGCGGCAACTGGATGTCCATAATGTTTTCTTAAATGGGCATCTAGCAGAAACTGTCTATATGCGACAACCACCGGGTTATGAGGATCCCACTCATCCGGATTATGTTTGCCGTTTACAGCGGTCCCTCTATGGTCTTAAACAGGCTCCACGTGCCTGGTTTAAGCGGTTACATGATTTCCTGCTGACTACAGGTTTTGTGGCGTCCAAGACTGACGTCTCCCTTTTTTACTACACACGAGGCACGTCACGGGTTTATCTACTTGTTTATGTAGATGATATCATCATGCTTGGCAACGACTCCGAATTGTTACTTTCTCTACTCAGTCAGCTATCTACTGCTTTTAAAATCCGAGATTTGGGCACTCCCACTTTCTTTATCGGTATTGAAACTGTTCCAGTAAAAGATGGTGTTATACTTTCACAACGCCGTTACATGGCCGACATCCTGACTCGTGCAGGTATGACGGATTGCAAGCCACTATCCACTCCAGCTGCAGTCACACAAGCCATATCTACGGTAACGAGTCTGTATGAGAACCCGACTCAATACCGTCGGTTAGCCGGGGCTCTCCAGTATCTGACTATCACGCGCCCGGACTTGTCTTATGCCGTGAATAGACTCTGCCAGTTCATGCAGGCTCCGACTGATGAGCACTGGGGTTTACTAAAACGGGTCCTACGGTATGTAAAGGGCACGCAAGAATACGGTATTAAGTTGTCTGCATCACCTTTTGCTGACATTCATGCTTACTCAGACTCAGACTGGGCT